TTTTTTTTGTTATACATGTGTCCTTATGAATTCACGACTTCTCCTGCCACCTCTAGGATAAACAGTAGAATAGCCCGGGTGTCTCTAGCGTTGTTTGCAGCCAGTTTAGATGAATTATAATTCTGAATATAAAAATGGGGAGCATGGTTCCTTCACCTCTAACCTTTCAAAGATATCATGGTAATTCATAGATGATAAAGATACTCAATTCACCGAGAGCCATGGTGGGGAGATGGTATAAAAAGATGTAAACATAAACTTAAAATTTAGCTATCTGTCTATTTTATGAATTATCTTTTACAAAAAGTATAGAAGTGTTACTTAGAATGAAAAATCAAAATAACAAGTAAACTAAAGATCTATATATAACTATAAACTCAACTTCTGTTTTCGTAGACATTAATTTGATTGTTTAAGCTACCATGTTCGATAGGATTGACTTGCTTTTTACAGCTTATCAATCATTTACGAATAAAGTCAAAACATATTCCCAATTGTAAGGGACTTCTAAGAGTAGAAGTTATTTCCAAGCATATCTTGGTACACATATAATCTCGAATGAAAACCGGTGTTTAAAAATAATGATGTCCACTCAAACAGGTGTAGCCACTCAATACAACGTTTATGATAATGATATATATATATATATATATATATATATATATATATATATATATATATATATATATATATCAAATCTAGGTTCAATGAAGAGCCTTTTTCAAATATCTTCTTTAGTCCCTTTATCTGAAAAACGCTTGACGTGGGAAACAGAGTAATACATACATACATACATACATATATATATATATATATATATATATATATATATATATATATATATATATATATATATAAGTCTGTGTGTGTGTGTAAAAAGAATATGTATATATACAGAAACATATTTTAGTAAAAAAAGTTCTGTTTACTTATACTCAGTTGGATCCTTTCGTATTCACGGACATGATTTTGGGTGTCATTATTAAAGGAAGAGAGAAAATTAACGTGTTGATACATGTTATTTATTCAGAGTACTTTCTACATTAGCGCAATATCATCATCAGGGTTTTATTTTTTTTTTCAGGACAAATATTGTAATGTTCGTCATTTTCAAAGACAAAAATGCTCTGTTCATCTGAAAGTGATAGTTTTTATTAATGAAGAGAAGAACGCTGAATTCTATGCAATTAGCCTGTGTAACGCTTAGGGGATGTAACGAAGTGATGCGGTTATTGAGGTTTTTTGATGTTTTTGATCTGTTTTTTTTTCTCGAATGTTGTATATTTATTCTTATAACTTTATCAGAATAAGTTTATTGAGCTTTGTATTTTGGAATTATATAATTTATTTTTTATATCCTTATTTTTCCTTGATAAAATATTCTTTGAAGCTTTAAAATAAAAAGTTATTTCACATTTAGACTTTTCCTTAACACCATTCTCGTCTTTATGCTCGCTACTATATATATATATATGAAGAAATATACTCTTAAGGTGTGCTATATTTATGGGATAAAGTGCTCAATATCAGAAATAGAGCGTGTGTAAATATAAAAGTGAACATTGAAGTCAACACTTAGGGTGGACAGGCTGTTTCATGTTTCAGGTGGCGTGTTGACTTCAATGTTCACTTTTTTTATACATATCTATCTATCTATCTCTCTCTCTCTCTTTATATATATATATATATATATATATATATATATATATATCCTCGTTTTCGAGGGTACAGCAACTTCGTTCTTAGAACTGAACAGTCCGACAACTTGCACATATAATTTGATTATAGTGGTGAAGGCTTGTGTAGAAGCAATCTTTTTTGGCAAGACCCAGTTACAAATAACTGGTTCAGATTGTGAGCCACAATGTCCCCAAACAACCCTAATCAAGTTTCGAATTTAGAGCTGTCCTTCTCCTAGTCAAGTTGGCACTGCTGATATTTATCCATAGCTGGGGGGATGGATGGAAGCAAGCACAGACTAAAGGCAAACGTTTTATGTCCATTGTGCATTTGTATTTTTAAAAATTAAAAATAAAATTTCAGTTGCTCCAATGTATTTTCTTTGTCCAAAATATATTTTGCTAAATTATAAATATTTTGTATGCTTCAGTAGACTTTTTGAGATTACCAAAAGGGCTGGATATTTGATAAAAGAATAATTTAATAAAAGTACAATAACATTCGATATTACACAAAACATTCTATACCATTTAGTTTAATTATAATTGACAGATAAATTCACTTCTCAACAAGACAACGATCCAAAACACTCTTCTAAATTATGTGAAAATTATCTAAAAAAGACAAACAAAATGGAAATTAAGACATTGCCGCCTCAATCTCCAAACCTCACTCCCATTGACATAGTATAGGGTAGATTGAATAGTTCTCGAAGAGAATATCTAAAGAGTGAGAGTGAGCTTTTTTCAATGCTTGAAAAATGCTTGCAAAGGTCTGCCTCTTATTTTTCAAACACAACTAGAAAGAATGCTAAATATTAGAATTGTAACTAAGGCAGGTGATGGTTTAATAGACGAAAACAAAATATCATGTTGTTATATGATATCTCTTTATAATTAAGTGCCTATTTTTTGCCAAAATAAAAGAAATTCACCGTAGTTACTCATATGTTAAGATGTTTTAAAAAAAATGCAGGGTACCCTAAGTTTTTGTTGACTGTAGGATATATATATATATATATATATATATATATATATATATATATATATATATATATATATATATGTGTGTGTGTGTGTGTGTGTGTGTGTGTGTGTGTGTGGGTCATTCATGTATGTATGCATATATATATATATATATACATGTATATCTAAACATATATATGCGTGTGTGTTTGTTTATGTATGTATATATGTATATATATATATATGCACATATATATGTGTATGTGTGCATCTATTCATTCATGTATGTATATATATGTATGTATGTATGTATATATATATATATATATACATATATATATATTTTGTGTATGTGCGTGTGTTCGTTCGTGTATGTTCATACGTGAGTGTGCCTGTACGTGTGTTCATTCATGGAGGTATATATATATATATATATATATATATATATATATATAGTTATAGTTATATATGAATGTATGTATATGTAGGCATTCATATATTTATGTCTATATATATGTACCTATGCATGCATCTCTGCATGCATTTAAATATACATACACACACACACACACACACATATATATATATATATATATATATATATATATATATATATATATATATATATATATATATGCGCATGTCTAGGTTTGGGATTCTTTTCTGGTGTCTCTTTCTCTCAATATCTGTATTCGTATGCGGAAGAATTTCAAGAATTAAAATATTTTTTGTAAATCACAACATTCACGTCTTTCTACACAACCCCACGTACATTCGCAACAAGAAAATTGACTGATCAATAGATAGACTGATTATCGATCTATCCATAGATATTCAATATACCCTATTTTAAAGCAATTCGGTTTTTCCTGACAATAATTGGAAATCTCAGAATACAAGAGTAACCTCGTTAGTAAAAGTATATTCATATTTCCAGCAAATGGAATACATTAAATACCTCCGGCTAGATTTCATCTGTTGTCACGTTGCTGTACCGAGAGCCTCGACCATAAAATCAAATGTAACCTTGGAGATATACAAGCATTGAAACAAAAGCCAGTAAACAATTCACTTTGACTAATAAAGCTCTGAACGAATGTACTAGCTCTTAATAACTATTGAAAAGGCATAAGATCTTCCCTTTCTCCCCAAATTCGAGCTGAAATAGAAGTGGGAGGAAGAAATGTATTCGGCAACAGAAGTCTTGTAATTTCATGTGCCGTCTCCTCACAGGATGGAGGTGACCATGTTTCTCCACAACTTCCTAGCATTAGTATTTCTAAGGAATGTTCATCTTTTAAACATTAACTAGACTCCCTGTTCTTACATCCATTTCCAAATGATTCTTATGTGGGTTACTCGCTATATGCCTCTCCCCATTTTGCCTTCAATATGACCTGTGAGTAATAATTTACACGCTACTTCGTTCTTGTAACGAAAGGAAGCCAAAATCTTCTCGATAGAAACTTTAGAAAATGATAATGATTGTCAAAGACATAAAATTTCTTATGTATTTTGCTTACAACTTTAAGATAAAATATTGCGATGGCAAATATTAAAAAGGTGCCAGTAATTATGAGAGTACTTCCAAAAATACTGGATCAATGAACATGTGAAAAGGTATGGAAAATATTTAAAAAATATAACTTTAGAAATTAGTAAGGATACTACGCGAAGTGCTGGAATTTTGAAGAGATGTGTTCTCACCTAATTTACAAATAGAGCCAGCAGATACTAATGACGTACAAAAGTCCTAAGCGTGGTGAGAATAAATAAAAGTTAAAGAATATTGTTGTAAAAAGGTGTGGAACGTCAAAGTTTGCATTCTGCTTATATTACTTGATGCACACAACACAGTTATGGAACATCAAGAATCAAAATTAGTGGAATTCGATTTTCATGACGAAGTTGGCATGATCCTGACAATGGTGTTGTTCACATCTGCGAAGTACTGAGGGTGTGCTGGAGATTTAGCAAGACTTAATGTCACTCACTCTTCAAGAGTAACCAACAACATGTATGCACATGCAACTGAATGAATTTATAACAACTGAAACAACAATATTAATGTTGGAATATTGAGGTGGCTTGTCACTTGATCTTCTGTGTCTTTCTTTATATGCCATGAATGTTACTCGGTCGGTTAAGTCTCATTTCGATTCAGGATTGACTAAGGCTACAGAGTCCAGATTGACCTACTATTTAACCCATAGTTGGGGAATAAGAGATTAATTTATACCTTTCCCAAGGGTATTAGCACGTAAGGGAATGTAATGAACTCAACCGGAATTCGAACTTGGCTCTCCAATTTTTAAATTCCGCGACGTTATCCACCGCATTATCCAAGCTTAAAGA